TTTTTAAATAATTTAGTTGAGATGAACTTTTAATAGATAACTTAAAATAAATAATAGGTTTTTAATTATTATAGTAGGTACTTTGAATACCTAGTAATATATACAGCTGGTTCTACAAAKCTACAACAGTGCAACTATATTATATATAGACTACTCTTTTCTTCCCAGATAACAATTATAATTTTTAAATCATGACCAATGTCAGCAAATGCKGTTATCATAGGGGGATAGGCCTACCTGGCAACCGGGCATTTCCCGGTGGGCCCTCATTCGTATTTTTCGGTRATGGGGCACTTTAATATCATATATCATAAAATTTTATTTTATGTAAGGGGCCCCTTTTTAAAATTTTCCGGTTGACCAAGAATTGCCTACCCGCCCATGGCTGTTATTAGTTCTAAATGTTATGTATGTTGTGTACTTGTGTATCATTCATTTGGCAGGATTTCATCCAATCTAACCAACTTCCTGATAATTGTAGCACTGTATATTGATAATACATTAATACATATATCTATTAGATGTTCTAAACAGTAGGTAAATAGTTTTTAAGTACTTCAATAGTCTATAGTTTGTACAACATGTATTTGTTTTAACTATTATTTTATATTTATATGGTTTCAATAAATACAAATTATAAAAACCAATATTATATATATATATTGTTATACTTTACTAAACTATGTTTTAAGTTTTAAACTAATTAATTTATCACCCATACCTATGGCCATTTAAGAAGAATTTATATAAATTATTTAAGTTTGACTTACAACTGTCACAGAGCCAATCAATGAAGCCAAACCAAACAAGAATATTAAATTGTATTTTCTGTTCTTTTTTTGATATTGTTCTTTCCAATCACCATATGGCACTTGCATATCATCCATAGTGAGTATTTTGTAATGAACTGGTGGTGGGCATATACACACGCAATCTGATTTTTGCTGTTTGGATTCATCTTGTTTTTYAATTACATCCTTTTTACCACGAAAATGCAAAACTAGGTAAATACAAAATAATATTATGTATTAATGACTACCTATTGGCTATTCCTATACCTATTTTGTGTACTGTGCAGTTACCTAACTAAACTTAGATAGTAAATTATTATCATTATCTTATTTTTACTTTTTATTTATCTCAAACAAAGATTAATTAATTCCTTACCTTGACTCTGTAAAATACTTGGACGGAATTTGTGGAAGCGGAACATGATTTTTAATTTTTATTGGGATTAGTGAGGTTAAGCCTTCACGCTCACGAAGTCAGTAAGTCACGAATAAGTAATTTATAGGTAATATCTACTTATAAAGTTATAATTTACAAAATAATAAATATGCTAATATGCATGTAAATGTACTGAATAATGACTTTGCAAATAAAATCGACAGGGATGTTACTAAAATAGGTATGATGTATAGTTGTTTCTACCACGGTTAAAAATACTTATTGTGGTTAAAATAGTATGAACTCTGAACCACGGTTATGGTAATTTTACAATATAATAAAATAATGATAATGCCTTGTTTACATTGACGAGTACTCGGCCGAGCACTGACTGTCCCGTGTGAACTCAAGGAACCAGTACTCGGCCTAGTAATCGGACGAGTAAAATAAGCGGGCGAGTGAACAGAAACAGTTTCTATTCGCTGGGCCGAGTGACTACCCCCACTACCAAGACCGAGCAACATAACGAGTGACACGGCCGAGTACTCGTCACGTGTAAACAAGGCATAAGATGCGTTCACTTGACAGTTAGTATAAGTACTAAGTTGACATGTCATTTTCTCGTTTTGTTCATTCATTTTCTTTGATTTTATAAATATTAAATAGGTATTTAATTTTTAATTTATAATAATGTATTATTACGTATTTTATATCTTATAGAGTGTACTAGTTTATTCGGTAGCTCTGTTTTCCGTTTACCATAATTCGTGACCATTGATGTCTTAATTTATTATAGYATGAATATAGRGTACTGGTCTAGTYGACCCCCGCCAGTGCAGATAAAAAAGGTACAAAATCATATACGTTAGGTATTTGTGTGAAATTCTCTAATTAGATATTTTAAGAATTATAATTGGTAAAATCCGTGTGATAAAATGTTGAGAGGATGTGGGGAAGTGCTAAATGGGGCAACAAGAAACGTAGAGGGACTAAGAGAAAYTTCCTAGATTCTTATTTGTCAGAATTTATGTGGCGGAGTAAATTAAACGGTCGGGATCCATTTAAAGAAATTTTGAAGGATATAGCAGAATTTTGGCCACCTGCATAATTTTTATTTTGATCGCTTGAATTGTTATGTATAATCATAAATGTATAATTTTTAATAAATGTATAATGTATTATTAATCGTACATTTTTATATAAATTATTAGTTATCGAAAATACAAAATGTAAGTGGCGGGCGTCAACTAAACTTGAGTGGCGGGGGAATTGCCTTCCTGGCGGGGGTCAACTAGACCAGTACCGAATATAGTTTTATTTTTTAACTACGAGTATATACTAATTATTAATTACTATTCCCTGTCACCACAACCATCRTATTATTGTATTTATTTAAATTCTTTAATTATGCCTTTTATATTGTACACGTAGTGGACCAATTGATAATAAACATTAATAAATAATAAGCTCACGATGTAGAGAATTCCTCTACATCGTGATTAAACCAATTGGCCATGACAAAATAGATTTTTTTTTTTTTATAATTATCCCGCGGCAACTGAGGCCATTGAGAAGGGGGTAGTACTGTAGGTTTTTATGGAACTGTAGGTTGGTTTTACACGTGGGTGAGAGTTTTTGGCAGAATCTTTATTGGGGCACCCGTAGCCCGTAGGTTTCTGCCATGCCCCGGAGTGGGGGATGGCGGAACTTGTTCTCCGGACACCGTGTCTTGCCCGGAGAAAAATGCCGGCCGATGGTTGAGGATCGAACCCGATCCGGCTGGGCCACAGCCGAAAATAGATTTAAATAGATCTATTTTGTCATATTATCGGCTATCATTCTCTATGTGTATTGTCAGAATTGACTGTTGTCTAAAATTGACTTCGAGTAAGTTGACTGAACATTTCAAACCGTATGCTGCAGCGCCATCTAGTTACAAATTACCAACGTTTTTCAAGGTCCGGATTGTACATTACTTTGTTCAAGCTTAAAAAAATTAAAAAAGTTACGCAGTTTCCGGAATGTGTCAGATAGCATTGCCGTTGTCGTTTGAACCTATGACTTAAGGCTTCGACTAAGAAACGGATGAAAATACTTAGTCCTCGGATGTAAGTTTTCCAACGTCTTTTCGTTACCGAAATCCGAATATCACGGTTAGGTTAGGGACATAAATACATATCGTTATAGTATTTCAACGTCAGCCTAACAAATTTTCAAACCTTATTTAAGGAGACCATGCCTCTCGGAGC